GTGCTAGGTCACTCGACCCCCTTACCCCCCCCCCCGGGGCTCCTGCCCACATCCCAACCATCCCCCAGTTCCAGGGAGCACCCGTGCCATTATCCCAACCCATCGGGACCCCCCTGTCTGCTGCAGGACCCCAGTGCTTCCCTCCTTCCGCCAGCATAGCCCACCCCAGGATCGGGGCCCTGGTTTGGGCAGTGCCCCCTGCCAGTACCTCCTCCCCCCTGCCCCATGGCACCAGCTCGCTGCCTGCCAGGGGTCTGCAGGGGGGGGCTCCCCTCCTCTCTCTGCCTCAGCCTCTCGCCCGCTTTTCTCTTCCTCCTCCCGCCCTGGTTCCAGCCCGTCCCTGCCACCCTCCCTTCCCAGCCTTGAGCCCTTGGCCGCCGTTCAGGGCTGGCCACGCCCGGCAGCTGTTGCCTGCTCCTCTCCCTAGGAAGCTCCGTGCCCCTTGGCCTCTCCCGCCGCCGGTTCCACCTGCTTCCGCCCCTCGGTGTCTGGCCCCAGGAGTGCAGGGCCGGGCAGGCCGGTGCCTGCTGAACCTAATCGGGAGTGGGGGAGAGTTTCTGGCCCTATACACCCCCCCGGGGGCGAGGGGGTGCTGCAGGGGTATCCATGCCCAGCCCCTGCTGGTGTCAGGGCTGGCACACCCGTCCCGAGTGCAAAGGGTGCGAGTGCCTGGAGGCCTCGCACGCTCGTGCCCTGCAGGCCATGGGATCCGTTCGCCAGAGCACTAGTCCCAAGAGCCCCTCTCCCCCACCCGTGCAGGATTGACCCACTGAGGCACAAGCCCCGGGAATCCCTCCCTCCCCCCGCAGCACGGTAGGGTACCCCCTCCCGGGCCCTGTTCTCTCCCTCCCAGCCCGGCATCTGGGCCTGAACGGCAGGGAGCCCCTAGCCCCCGGCAGCCAGCCAGGGGGGGTGGGGGACGCCCGAACATGGACAAGAGAGGGACTATTAATAGCCCAGCCCGCTCCGAATAGCCGGGAAGTTTGGCGTGTCTGAGATGACTGGGGCGCCGCGGCTGGGCAGGGCTGGGTCAAGGGCAGGCTGGGGGCACCTGGCTGTCGTCGACAGAGCTGATGTAGACCAGGGCAAGGGGCTGAGTGGGTGTGTCCCCCCCCCCTTTCACTGTCACAGTGGTGCCCCCCCTGGCACATAGGGCATCTTCCCCTGCTGTTCCAGCAGTGCCTCCCCCCCCCCCGGTGGGGGAAGTGCCCCCCAATGTCCTGGCAGCGCCCCCGGTGTGCGAGAACGGTGCTCCCCCGCTCACCTGGCACAGACTCATGCCCCAGGAACACGTGCACTGGCTAAGAAGCTGCTTGTGGCCCGCAAGGAGATTGACGGCTTCGCACAAGCTGCCCCTCGGTGGATGTGATTGCACGCCTGCCCACCCCGCTCGCACGGCAGTGTCCTGGCAACAAGAAGCTCCCCCACACTCGGCTAGCCGAACCCCCGTGCGCAACACGTTTGCGCCCCCCCTCCCCGGGGCTGGAGGCCCTGGCACTCCCCCAAGGGGGCAGGTAGCTGAAGGCGTGACGGGCGCGTGCCCCTAAAGCCCCAGGCTGGTCTCTCGCTGCCGCGCAACCCTCCCCTCCCCCTCCCGCCCCCTGGATTTCAGGGTGTTTGGACTTTTCTTCTGTCCAAACCCCACGCTCCAATGGAGGGCACTGAATTACACCGGCTGGGGATCTGGCCCCAGTGGGTTGGGGCTCCCGGTCATGGCTGGCGTGTCCGGCACCGCTCTGGACGCGCTGCTGTCACCCCCAGCCCTGGGCTCTCCGTACAAATACGTCCCTGCCCAGGCAGGTCACAGAGCAGCCAAGTGAGGATGGAAACCTGGAGCTGGCTCAAGCCAGTCCCTGGGGTCTTGGTATCCGCACAGCGTGGGAGTCGCTGGGAGCTGGGTGTGGTCCAGCCTTGGGCCAGGCCAGCCGTCCCCATGAGTCTCAGATCTTGGACATCAAAGCTGGGGGCGGCTCCTTCCTGCCCCGGGACGCAGAGCTGTTACTGGTGTGACTGTGTTCCTCTCGGAGAGCACCCCCTGCAGCCACCAGGGTGACATGCCCAGCCTTGGGGGGCTCCTGCCCCAAGCTGGCAGTGCCCCCTGGTGGACATTCCCAGCTCTGGCGTCCTCGCTTTCTCCCTGCCCGCCTTAAGGGTGGGAGCGCCCCCTGCTGGCCCCCCAGGAGAGCACACCCAGCCCTAGCCACTCACCCGTCGCGCAGTGCCCCCTGCTGGGAGGAGGGAGTCAGGTGCCCCCTCCTAGGTCCCAAGATGCTCTGCAGGCATCGCCCTGGCCCTTGGCGGGCGGCCTGGCCCGTCGGAAAGAGCGATCCTGAGAAAACTCGTTTGCCAAGCGAGACGGGAAGGGAGGGAACCTGGGAACCGAACGTGGAAACATCCTTCTCAACCCCAAAAAGGAGCCCTGAGTCCCCTGGGAGGGTTATGCAACCTCGTTGTCTCTTAAAGTGACAGCCCAGGCACTGCCTGCTAGGATGCCTGGGTCCCACCAGGGCTTGAATCCCACCGAACTGAAGCAGAAAGGGGAACCGTTTGCACTCCCTATGTCAACCTCATTGGGATCTTCTTCCATCTCTTCACACTCCCGTCCCAGCCTGCTAGTGCCCGGGTTCATGCTCCCAGCTTCTGAGTGCACCAGGATCCTCGTGCCAGGGCACTAGTGCCAGGACATGCACACCCTGCTCACCAGGATCCTCGTACCAGGGCGCTAGTGCCAGGACATGCACACCCTGCCCACCAGGATCCTCGTGCCACGGTGCTAGTGCCAGGATTTGCAAGCCCAGCTCACCGGGAGCCACACCCCTGAGGGCACTAGCACAGTGGTTCCCATGCCCAGCGTCTGATCACGCTGGTGTCCAAGCACCCCAGTGCCAGGCTTCCTGCTCCCAGCCTGGTGTGCAGCAGGGCCCACCCGGCGGGATTCACGCTTAAGTTCCCCAGCACGCTCAGATCCAGGCCCGTTGCCTGGTTTCACGCTTGTAGCCCCCACGTGCAACAGGATCAGTGCACGGGAGCATCAGGGTCTCTGCTCCCACCTCACCAGGGTCTGTTCACCGTTGCCCAGACTGGTGCTTCCAGCCCCCAACGCTGCCGGGGTCTCTCTCGGGCGCAGGGTTCATGGTGGAGAGGAGACAAGCTGGGCCACGTGAACATTTTTGTCTTCTAACGAGGGAGGGGGAATTTGGCTTTCCTGCCCCTTTAAGAGCCAGGCACAGACGTGGCTTCGTGGAATCAGGAGCTCACCCGTCCTGGCTGGAACTTTAAGGCCTAATCTCCCCCCGCCCCTCACCCCCCATCGCTGGCTCCTGCCAGCAGCCCTAATGCGAAGCAGATTGCACCCCGTCCCAGCATCCAAGTTCTGCTCCTGCTGGGATCAGAGGGGAGATCTCCCCACTCTGCTCCCAGATCAGAGTTGAGGGGGGGCTGCCACCTGTTAGGGTCTGAGCCATGTGCCCTGCCTTGGAGTGGTGGGGGAGGGGAGAGCCCCACCAAAGCAATGAGGCTGGTTCCTGGAGGTGGGGTATCAGGAGAGGGGGGGCTGTCACAGCCCAGTCATGGGGCGGGGCGCAGCAGGATGGAGGGGGGTGAGTCATGGACCAGACCTGAGGGGGAGCAGGATATTGTGCGTGGGGGTGGGGTGGGCTGGTCCCTGGGGTGGGGGGGTGGAGGCAGTGGGATGGGGGTTGGATGGTATGACATGATGCCTGGGGGAAGGGCAGTGGGATTTGGGGGGTCACAGAGTGATCTTGGGTGGGAGAGGTGTCAGTATTGGGGGGTTGTTGCAGGGTGGGGGCAGGGTGTCATGAGCTGGTGCCCGGGGGCGGGAGAGGCAGTGAGATTTGGGGGGGGAGAAGGGAGGACAGTCCCTGGGGGGGGGCAGTCAGATTGGGGTGTCCTGAGCCAGTCCCTGTGGCGGAAGCTCGTGGGATTGGGGGGGGGGGGCTCACAGCTGCCCCTGGGACTGGGTTAGCCCCTGCTCAGCGCCCCGCTCTCTCTTCCTGCTGCAGCCTCCGTCCCGTTCTTGGTCTGTGAGGTTGGCTTGGTCCCCCCCATGCGCCGCGGCTTCTACTGCAACGACAGCAGCATCCGCTACCCACTCAAGCAGGCGGAGACGGTCAGCGACACGGTGCTGATCTCGGTGGGGATCCTCATCACCTCCGTCTCGGTGAGTCGCTGCCAGAGGAGAGAGCCCCCTGCAGCACAGCGCCCCCTAGCGCCGCACTGGGGCCAGCACTGCCTGCCAGGGGAGAGCGCCCCCTGCTCAGCCCCCACCCTGCTCCGTGCAGCACAGCGCCCCCTAGCGCCGCACTGGGGCAAACACTGCCTGCCAGGGGAGAGCGCCCCCTGCTCAGCCCCCACCCTGCTCCGTGCAGCACAGCGCCCCCTAGTGCCGCACTGGGGCCAGCACTGCCTGCCAGGGGAGAGCGCCCCCTGCTGAGCCCCTGCCCCGCTCCCTGCCCCACAGCGCCCCCTAG